TATGTTTGTGTCTAGATACATAAAATGTATAGGAATGGAACACATTATTTGGAAGTAATAATCACACCAGTATGAGTACTTAAGTTTGCAGACATCTTAAGGAAGAAAAGAACATAGTGACATTCAGAAACACTTAAAAACAGAAGACAGAAGGAGAGAAAGTATTGTATATCTCTCCAGGCAGTCAAGAAACACAGAAGAAATGATGGCGAAGGAAGACTTCAAAGCCAATCAAATGCAGTACCCAGGGTAGGCCTGCATCGAAGTTCGATCTCATGGAAGTTTCCAAACAAATTACATCAACACCCACCTATAATTAATCACAGCTGTTTTCAGTGTCTTTTTCTTATGTTGCCAAGATCAGTTTCTTTTCTCTTGTTCCTGAAAGTCTTTGCCTCCCTCTGCCAAGGATGAGGTCATACAGGTTTAGTAAGCATTTTTTTATTGTAGGTGGTCTGTATTGAAGATGAGAAAGATCATCCCACTAGACCCAAGTATTCCATATCAAGTACAAGACAAAGACACAGAATAACTCTTAAATAAATGTTTAATTCTGTATTACATATTCAACCAATACCTAGGTATTTAAAGGTGCATGCATCATGAACCTATGAAAAGAGGTACACACCATTGCCCAGTTCCTCCTAGCCAAACCTTTCATAAAACCAAGCTCACCACAGAAATGGAAGGAAAATGCCAAGATGGTAGCCATGACTATGAAATCAGAGCCCTATTTATCTGTCAATTTATATAATGCTATATATGATATACCTTCAAGAAACTTTACAGCTACTTGGGAATTCAATGTTCTGATTGTGGGGTTCTTGGTGCTCTCTCTGTTTGGTTTTTTTCTTGCAGACGGTTCATTACCCAACTAGGTAACTTCATCAGTACTGGAAGGGAATGGGGTTTGGTTCTCTGTTTATATGCAATGGCTTGCCCTGTCAGTGTTGATGGAAGCATTCTCAGTAGTTCCTTGATTAGGCTGTAGCTTACTGCTTGATTGTTCATCTGACTCTTACCCATTGTCTAACTTTAGTGTTTCTGGAAATGGAAGAGGCGGTAGTTGTCAGATTCAATAGAGGTAGCAGTTCTTGAACAGATTCCTCTTCTTCTGAAGCCTTAATCCAGCAGAAGCTGAGTCTAGAGCTTTGATTATCAGAAGACAAGGATCTAATCTTTGCAAATATTTATATTTATTAAGCTTACAGCTCTAGCCTACAATAATAATCCTTCACATTATGACCCATGCTGGTTCATTATTAGCTGAGGGGAAAAAATAGAAAGTTTTGGGGTTACCAGAAAAGTAACAGACTAGATCCAAAAATCTGAAAGTGGCTTTGTGCCATCGTAATGCAAATTTTCCCCCCATTTCACATGTGCATGACATTACGAGACTCTTACAAAAAAAGTCAGTACTGCATTGTGATGGTACAAAGCTTGGTTCATCATTGCCTCTTCATTTGGTTCCACCAAGAAAACGTCTTGCAACAGCCCAGATTATTTGGAGCAGTGAATCTATGCAATTACTAATGGCTGTTAATTCTGAACAACAATGGGTGTCTTCATCTATTGTGAAGTCGGGGTGAGTTAATAAAGGGAAAAAGCATAAGGCTGTTTCTCTGTGATTCCCAGGATAGATGTCAGTTTCTCTACAACATTCCCTTTTTCCTGAGGCAGCTACCCTGAGGCAGCCTGCAAGTGAGATATTCCAATTCTGAAAAAAAAAAAAAAAACAAGCTTCTCAGGAGTAAACAGCTTACAATAGTTTAGCTTAATTGCATTTGCATAAATTAATTATGGAAACATTTTCACAATCAAAAGTGGCATTTTGATACCTGACTCTAATTAATCTAATTCAACAGGACATAATTATGTTCCAGTGTCAAGTTCAAAGCTGAACACTGTAGTACACGGAGATAAAAGTTGACTTAAGACACGGCCATAATTCTTTACATCCTCAGTCTGAATAATTCAGATGAATCTTAACATAGCAATTGTATTTACCCAAACTATTACTGGTTCCTTTATTTATGTAATACATTGATTAAATCACCGCTCTCCTTCATTTCTTTTCAATTCAATTTCTTGACCATATTCATTGAAAAGTGTATCAGGCAAAGCTTGCTTTATATTTGCCCTATTTTAACTGGCATATTTCTCATTGATACAAGAGAGCTTCAGGAACATTTTATTTGTTAAAGTGGGGTTACATTTCACAAAAGTACACCAGGTTTTCCTTATCTCTTTTAATACATTAAAGTCTGATGCTGGCATAAAGAAATATGTACTGGAAGGCATTTCTGACAGTCGTGTTTATTAACACACATTTCTTTTTTAGGGCTGTTCTTTAAGAAAGAAAGAAAAGCTGTGTGTAAAAAATACCTTTCTAAGCCATATTCCAAATCGTCCTTTTGTTCGAGCTATTTGTTTTTGATGTTTTGCATATGTGAAATCTCTGAAAAAGTAGGGTTGCCATGGAATTGTTAAATATGAATATTGTTAGTACTGGGAATAAATCAGTGGGTAGAGGCCCATATGTTCTATAATATTCACCAGACAATAACTGCAACTAGATAATAAGAAAATGGACTTGGTAGCTCATCAGAGGCTCCCTGGTCCACCAGTTTAAATGATATTACAAGAATTGTTGGGTAACTTGATATTTTGGAGAATAAAATAAAGCCTTTGATCCAGGTTTGTTTTTTAAAAATGGATTTCCTTCAGCACCATCATTAAGATATGCAATAAGCATACTATGATTTTGAGGAGTATTTGCATTTTTATTTTTATTTCACAGGCAGTCCTTGTTTCACCCTCCACAATTGTGACTGGCAACTCAATCATTAAATGAAGTGGTCACTAAGAGAAACTGTAACTGTGCTTATGATCTTACTTCATTTTTGCTTTACAGACCTGTCACAAGTGGGAGGATTGGTCAGAAAATTACTTTTCATCATCATCATTGTAATTGCGAATGGCAATAAATGAAGTCTACTTGTATTATGTACACGATTATTTTAAGTCTGCATTCATAGATCAGCATTACAGGATCGACATAGCTACAAAATCAATTATAGCAATGCAAATAGTTTAAAAAAACTCTTTATAAACTGAACAGTTCCCAAATTGACCATATTACTCATATATCTTTGTCTCTCATTTGAAAAGTGATTAACTCAAACCTTGATACACAATGCATAGCAACAATCTAAAGCTGTAAATCAGGTATGCATCTCACCTTTCATCTGATGCTTAAACAATGTTGTTAGACAACACCCTGGCCTGAAAAATTCATAATCCTTAATATCTAATTATAGATTCCAATATTGGGAACACAGCTAAAATAAGATATATGCCCTCAACATACAGATGCAGAGGTATATTAACAATTGTTGAGATCAGCACAAAATGCAAATATAATAGGGTAAGGCTAAGCTATATATTGGTTAATGTTCCAAATCCTGAATTATATCAACTTCAGCAAGCAACCATCATTTGATTTATCAAAACAAGATATTCATGCTTGTTATATCAAGGGCCATTAATAAATAAAATACATTTATCCAGCTTTCTATAAAGAAAAAATATTGGTTTAAGGACTGCCAAAACTTAAAACTTTGTGAAACATTAGAAGGAACAATTTCATATAGGACAGATAAATTAAATATCAAATTCTTATGTTGATGTCAAAAAAGTATTCAGAGTTAATTCCATATTGTTTTTAATTCTGTAAAAAACAATTTAATCAACTTCTTCAGAGCTGAAATAATCAAAAATAATAGCTCCAAAAACAGATGTAGACACTATGTTTAAACTAAGCTTATCTAAATCCTAATATCGAGATCAAATATCAGCTCTTTGCCTTCTTTAATAAAACCACTTACTACTGTATGCTAATCCTTTAGGGCAGTGGTTCTCAACCTGTGGGTCGGGACCCCATTTGGGGTCGAATGACCATTTCATGGGGGTCACCAAACAACACAGTCCGCCATTTTTTTCCCATTTTCCTTAGCTGTGCTACTCCCTTTTATTCTATTGGCTTTTGAAAGCCAATAGAATAGACTCTCTTGAATAGAGTCTAATACTATTGGCTTTCAAAAGCCAATAGGAATTGTTCAGGCTGTCTCTGCCCTGCTGAGCCCGCCAAAAGTCCCATTCTGCAAACGGTGCTGCACCAGTTGAGTAGTCCTCGACTTACGACCAGTTGAGTAGTCCTCGACTTACAACCAGTTGGGGGTCGCAGCATTAAAAAGGTTGAGAACCACTGCTTTAGGGTCTGATCCAATAGAATATACAAACAAGAATCTTTGGCATCAGGTTAAACATAATCTTTACTTCTCAAAATTATAATCCTATAAAAGAAAAATAATAATAATACAAATATATTGTGATGACCCAAGGCACAGCACAGAGGCAATGCAGTCAGCTGGCAATTCAAACCACCCTTTAATTGCTCCAAATTTTCCCCAAATGCTCCCACATTTCTGGAAAACCTCCAAACAAAGGAAGACACACACACCTCTGGCTGCAAGTAGTTTCACATACAGTTTGATTAGGAGATGAATTTACTCAAGGCCACAGAGATAAGAAAGAATGACACATACATCATAAACCTAATGAGTCTGTGTGCATACACACTTGCCTGAGCAGTTTCGGAAGGGAAGCTAAAATGCAGTCTGAGTTCTTTAAACATCCAAGCAACATTGTCAGAGTTTCCAAGCAGAAGTCACAGAACAAGAGATCAGCAACAACACACATAAAACTCCAGGGAATAAGTGTTAGTTCCTGACAAATGCCTCTCCCCACAGCATCTCCTTAAATCTCATTCTCCAGGTGTTCCTTGTGGAGAGTGGTGGGATGCTCTCCTCCCGAGTAGTTGAGCCTGCCTGCGTTGTTCCCTCCTTCTCTCCACTCTCCGTGCTCTAGGATCAGGTGGGGGTGGTCCTTGCTCATCGCCTGAACTCTGTCTCTCCTGTTCCTCCTGTCCCACTCCTGAAGGGCCCTGGCCTGCCTCTGCCTGCTCTTCCCCACATTCCTCTGCAGCCACAGATACCTCCCCCTCAACCTCCATAGGGTCCCGTTCCAGCTCATTTTCCTCCGCAGATTCAAGCTCCAATGGAGGCATGACATATATAATATCAGTAGGGGGACAGAGAAATTGAAAAGTTGTACAGTTAGTACTCAGTATATATCATAGATGAAGGATTAACTATAAAAAGCAGAATATGTTAAGTTCTTTTTAACAAAAAGTGAAAGGATTTTCGCTGAATACCAATGTGTCCACCACTTTATTATTTAAAGATAAATCTCTTTTTTAAAAAAAGAGGAAGGAAAGAAAAAAAAGCTAGTAAAAGTACTATTGAGTGAATGTATTCTAACTTCTTCTTTGTTATACTCCTGATGTTCAATATTTAAAAATATTCAAAATTTTCATATATTTCTAATTTTACTTCTTTAGCCAATTATTTCCCCCTTTAAAACTATGCTCCATATGTTTCAGTTTGCCATGCTGGATAATATATAATGTACATGGACACCATTCCTGCTTAAATTTGGCCAAACCTCTATTATGAATATATGCTGTTAATTTTGCCATTGCTGCCTAATCTCCAAGTTTACATTCTCAATGGTGATGCATCCCTTTTCCAATGTTGTGCTAAGTTTACCCTCAAGGCTGTCAACATGTATCTCAGTAAACTGTGATTTTCTTATTGTTGTTGATCTGTCTTGGACTTATCCCTAATTTTAAAATCTGTTTTGCATTCAAATTTAGATTCTAAGACTTTTAGCATGATGATTCAGATCATAACTTATTATGATATTCTATTGGTGTATATCTGGGTTTTCCAGCCTTGGCAACTTTAGGACATGTGGACTTCAACTCCCAGAATTCCCCAGCCAGCCATAGGTTCTTCAGTTGGGTTATATGAAAGATTGAACAAAGGAACTACTCAAAATTTTGAGACAGTAATCACATCCCCACAAAATCAACACCCTCAATCCTTTTTTTTTTTTTTTTTTGCATCTAGATGCATGCAAAATGCTAGAACTTCAGTTGCATGGTTGCAGGCATGATCTTGAATTTTTGTCCACTATATTTTGTTTTTTATTCTGCCAAACTATGTTTCCACCTTGGGCATGAATGTCCATGAAGGACGAGTGGGGGGAAGAGTGAAAGCAATTGGCAACAGCCATGTTTGCAGAAGAGTCAAAGACGTCAAGAGGATAGCCAGGACCCTGTGGTTAACATGCCCCTTTGTCCACGCATGTGACATCAACATGTGCAAGAAAGTTAGTTTTGAATGGTTGCAGGGTTGATAATGTGGTTGTAGATGCCATCTTGATTGACTTTCCATGATGATGCCCCTGTGACAGATCCATAAGCAAGTCCTGGAAAAGAACAATACTGTGCTAGGAATAGCAGTCAATCAATTTGTTACATGTCTGAGTAATCAGCGTGATCAATCAGTTATAATTTAATATTGACCAGGTTTATCTCTGAATAAAATCACCTGTATTTATCGTATTTCACTATGACAAAAGGTCTCTCGTACTGTACTCAGCCTTTCTGAAATAAATAAGTTCAAGCATCCATTCTGTACTAAAAGAATTGCTTACAGAAACAGAGAGACAGAGATAGAAAGGGGGAGGATTTGGACCACTGCATTAATAGAAAAGTTAGTATATAACTTTCAAATTAGTAAAAGTTCCATTAACCAAACTAATCTCTTTACGAAATGGTAGCATTTATATTATGATAGCAAACCATGAGTTCTTTTTTTGTATATTGGTTTGCATAAAGATATTTGGAATAGTTAAAATTAGAGTATTTCTGGGTATTAATTATTTTTGCATAATGACCAATTTTTTTTCTTGTTCGATTAGTTATTAAAACTGAAAACAAGAAAACATTAAACATTAATAAGCTGAAAATGCAGTAGGATAGGGTTCTATTATTTGGGCCTTCCAGATATGCCTTAGAGGGCAGGAATTCTAAAAGCTGCATCTGGAGGTTAATCTGGAGGGTGCCAGGTTGAAAGTCACTCCACAGACATTCATTTTGAAATATGTTATCTGCATGATTTAGCAGTCTCATTATGACTTCCTGCCAATCCCTTCCTTTTGATTGTGTGGTTGTCACAAGAGCAGGAAATTAGAACAAAAGAAACATTTCAAAATATCAATTGCCAACTATTCTAAGGAAATCCACACCTACAACAAATATTCACAATGTATTTAAGATCTTTTTCCCTAACTAATAATAAAGATATGCTTTTCAGGTAAGTAAAACTTTGCTTTGAAACAGTGAAATGGTGTAACCTTATTAAAAATTTCTTTAGGCATTTCTTTCCCAGGGTTCAAGGTAATCCAAGCCCAGGTGTGAAAATATTTCTTCCTCATTTGCAGCACTCAGAAAAATTTTCTGGAAGAAGAAAAAAGCTCAGTTTAAATAAAAGAAGACTATTTCTGAAACAACTAGATCCATAATTAATGTACTTAGCATTTGTGTTGATCTTGGCAAAAATTTGAAAATCTGACTGTCACATTCCAAATGAAAAACATGTTCTTATTCTGCAAAATGTATGACTACTGAAAAGCAAATAAACAGGGTTTTTTTCCTCCTAAGATGTCATATTTTTAATTCAGCATCAGTTAGGTCTCTGCAGAACTCTTGTTTTATCTCAATCAATTGTTTCATAAATATTGTATTTATGTAACATATTTCCATTGACTTTTAAGTACACTTAATACAAAATGGCTGTTTTGCAAATGATTTCAGACTATAAATTCCATTTCTGTAGTTCTCATTATAGCTTCACTGGTCAATAAGGTACAAGAAGCATGAAGTGAACAATTTTAATTAACATTTTAATCAATAAATGATTGCAATTTTACCAAGCTCAAATTTTGTACTATATTAAAGCATAACTTGTTCTTTTAAATATATCCTTAATATTACAAATGTAGTTTTCCAGAATAGTTGCCCAAGAAGCAAATCCTGAATGCAAAATAGAATTTTCCACTATCTTTGCCATTTTTTTTAAATAATAAGTGAGAATCACTTAGCTTGGTAGACTGTGATCCTTAAACTGAGTGTAAAGATGAGATCTGAATAAGCTGAATACATTAATAATATTAATTAATTAGAAATAAGATTGCATTCATTTTTTTTCTTTTAACAACCCTGAAATCCCTTGCTTTGGGATGGAGTTAGGGCAACTGAATGGAGCTGAGCATTTAATGCCTGGATGCTCTTCCTGATGCCTATATGGAGATCACAGCAAATAATAACTCATTGCACCCAGAGAGAGAAATATCTGCCACTACCTAGGATTGAACTCACAGCCTCCTGATTGTGAGGTGAGAGCTCCACCTCTAGGCCACTGCACTGCTCGCATTCATAATGTTTATTACTAATTAAGAAATTAATTATAGAACAGTAAGCCTGCTTCCTTTTTTGTTTAACTTCCAAGGTTGCAACTTAGAGTTTCTGCCTTTAATTCAAAATGTGTGATCAGATTGTATAACTTATGGCTTCTTCTATTGCTCTGTTAGAAAGCTGCCAAAGAAGGAGGAAAAGATGGAACTGGACTAGGAAAATATGGACAGAGGCTTCACTTTTGTCTCTTCAGCTTTAGAAGGAAGAGATGTGCCTCTAAGTTGAAACCTGGAGATCCTAAATTTGAGATTTGGGGAAGTCTCTGTGTTTGTTTCTTGAGCAATGTATTTCCATGGCTGAGTCAGTCTTGTGCTACAATTTTGCCATCTTTACTGCAAAGGCAGACATTTAGTTCTATAACATCTCTAAAAAAGTCTACATAATTTAACCACACCTGAAATCCCACACTATAGCACCTACTATCCATGAATGTCTCAAGTCTTTCCCTATTAAAATGCAGCAAGTAATAGAAGGAGTCTCAAACTACAACATTCCAGCTGAGCTGTTTAGAATGATACCGTGGGTTACTCACCCTGCTAGAGAGCAAAGGAAACAAAGGAGAAGGAAACGCAGGCAGAAATGAGGCTGTAGAGCCGGACTGTGTGTAAGGTTAGGAAAAAATCCTCATAAGCCTGCATTGCCAAGTCTTTTTGTTTCAAAGGTTAGATCTCTCCCTAATAAGATTGAGGAGCTGGAACTTACTATCTCTCTGCAGAAAAACATTCGGGACTGCTGTGTCATGGTCTTTACAGAGACGTGGCTTGACCCTACCATTCCAGGAGAGGCTATTGAATTACCAGGACACTCAGTTTATCGAGCGGATAGAACCATGGTCTCTGGGAAGAGCAGAGGAGGGGGACTTTGTGTTTACATAAATAACAACTGGAGCACAAATGTTAAAATAATGGACACTCACTGTTCTCCTGATTTAGAATACTTGGCAGTGAAATGCTGCCCCTTTTATCTGCCTGGTGAGTTTAATATTGTGATAACTGTAGTATATATACCTCCTGATGCTAACATGAGCACAGCCATGAGTTACCTGTTAATTGCTATTAGCAAACAGCAACAGGCCTACCCGGATGGAGTGCTGGTGGTTGCAGGTGATTTCAATCAAGCCAAATTAAAGACTGTCCTCCCTACGTTCTATCAGTACGTAGACTGTCCCACTAGAGGGAAAAATACCTTGGATCAAGTATATAGTAACATCATGCATGGATACAGGACTATGCCTTTACCCCACCTGGGACAGTCAGATCAGATATCTGTGTTCTTGATCCCATCATATAGACCTCTTGTCAACAGAATTAGACCATCAATTAGAGAAATATAGATGTGGCCAGCGGATGCATCGGAGCAACTTCAAGATTGTTTTGGGATACTGATTGGGCACTGTTTGAAGAGAACAATGTTGACATTTACACTTCAACAGTACTGTTTTACATTAAAAGATGTTGTCACTAACACAGACAAGTACGGGTGTTCTCTAACAACAAGCCCTGGATAAATAGAAAAGTGTGTCTTTTATTAAGAGCAAGAAATGCTGCTTTCCATTCTAGTGATGCGCTACAGTATAGCGAGGCAAGAGCTAAATTGAAAAGGGGCATCAAGGACACTAAATCTACATACAGATGGAGGATTGAACATCTTTTTGAGAACTCAGACTCTGGTCGTGTATGGCAAGGTCTGCGACAAATCACAGGACAAAATAATAAAAATAGTTTGCCTGGGAGTAGTGACTCTTTGGCTGAGTAGCTAAATCAATTCAGCCATTTTGAGGTGGACACAGGAACGACCATCATTCCAGCATTTACTACTGATAGTGCACCATTAACATCTACCATTGATAGACAACCACTTCTACTGCAGATCTCTGATGTGAGATGCACTTTCCAGAATGTTAATATCTGGAAGGCAGCTGGGCCTGATGGAATTCTGGGATGAGTTGTCAGGGACTGCGCTGCAGAGCTAGCTGAAGTGTTCATGGATATTTTCAATCTATCCCTGTCGCAGTGCTCTATCCCTACCTGCCTGAAGACATCTATTATAGTGCCAGTTCCTAAGCAGACAGTAGTGGTATCGCTTAATGATTATAGACCAGTAGCTTTAACATCTGTTGTTATGAAATGTTTTGAGAGGCTGGTGTTGAACTATATTAAGGTTAGTCTTCCATCTACTTTGGACCCATACCAATTTGCATATAGGGGTAATAGATCAACTGATGATGCTATGTCTCTTGTTGTCCATACTGTATTGAATCACTTGGAACAACAGGGGACACATGCAAGGTTGTTATTTGTGGATTATAGCTCTGCTTTTAACACCATTTTACCCAACAGGTTGTTTTTTAAAATGTCCAATTTGGGTATAAATCAGAGGATTTGCTTGTAGATTAGGGATTTTCTGATAGGTAGGCCACAGTCAGTAAGGATGGGATCTCACCATTCCTCTACTCTGATATTAAGCACAGGAGCCCCCCAGGGTTGTGTGCTTATTCCTTGTACACGTATGACTGCACCCCACTGTATAACACCAACACAATTATTAAATTTGCGGATGACACAACAGTGGTGGAGCTCATTAATAAGAACAATGAGTCTGCTTACAGGAAGAAGGTACAAGGGCTGACATTGTGGTGTAATGAAAATAACCTCAAACTTAACACCACAAAAACTAAAGAACTTATAATTGACTTCAGGAGGAAGACAGATGTACATCTACCATTGTACATAAATGGTGAGGAGGTGGAGAGGGTGGGTAGTTTTAAATTTCTGGGCACTTATATCTCGGAGGACCTCTCATGGACTATGAATGCTAACATGCTTGTGAAGAAGGCACAGAAGAGGCTGTACTTCCTGAGAATGCTCAGGAAGATAAATTTATCTCAGCATTTACTTCTGTCCTACTATCACAGCACCATTGAGAGTGTCCTGGCATACGGCATTCTTGCATGGTATGGAAGTAGCTCTGTAGGGGACAAAAAAGCTCTACAGAGAATCATTAAAATTGCCCAGAATATTGTCGGATTTCAGCTACCAGCCCTGGACAACATCTTCGATAATCTTTTTTACATTAAGCTCCATGGACTGCAATGTCAACAGTAGGGAATCTGTGATTTGGATGCATTTTATTCAAGCTTCTGATTCATTCATTTCCAGACACTGGTTGAGTGTCGAAATATGGATGCATTCCCCATGATAGGGGAGAATATGTCCTCATGATAGATGTTCAGAGAAGCATAGATGTCCACATTTTCACCAAACAGAAGGATCACATAAGCAGTGGGTTCTGTCTGAACTAGGCTCTGGAGATGCAGAAATCAAATCAGCAAATGTTAATTACCATTCAAAATAGTGTGAATCCAGGAAGTAAGGAAGGCAGGCATCCATAAGTCAGAGGAAATGAGCCCCAGAAAATGGAATAATCATAAGCTGTGAAACAGTTGCAAAGAGTGAGGATAAAAGTCTAAAACAGACAAAGGAAAGTATGAAGGCCAACTGGCCCAATTAACCGAGCTCTTTGGAAGAATGGATATGCAATTACTGTAGCAACACTATAAAAAAAACAACATCCAGCTGATTTCCACATGTTGCATTAACATGCATTCCCACTGTCTATGAGTTGGCAGAAATGTAGAATTTATATTATGCTGCTCCCATGATTGAGCTGAATTCTGCTTCAGCAACGAGCACAGAGAATGGTTCTTTCTTAACAGATTTAATTCAGAACAGATTCAAGATGGCAAGCTTCAAGATCTGTAGGCTTCTTTTTTCTCTCCCACCCAGCAGGAAAAACCACCACCATTTTCCTTAAGTGTACCAAACCAAACACAACACACAGACACACAATACTACATCTTTTCTTCATGTTCTGCAGGCAAAGAAGTTGTCATCCCCACCACCCCTCTAAGCATCCCAGAAGGCTCCCTTCAGTTCCCAAATCTTGCACTGCTACATCTTGCTATGAAGGTAGTCTTAGACGTA